TTATAGATCGAGTTTTTTAAAAAAAAATTAGGAAAAATTACTTACAAATCTCATTTGGAGAAAACTTGTTTTATTTATACTATATTTAGGAATTTAAGAGAGAAAAGAAATGAAATGATTACTTATAAAAGAAAAAAAAATAAATGAAATGATTGTGATTTCTCTCATTCTTATTTGGTTAAGTAAGAAATAAAAGAAAAGAAATGATTGTGATTTCTCTCCTTCTTGTTTGATTAGATTTCATAAGAGAGAAAAAAAAAATTATTTTATGTTATATTACCAAAATAACCTTTTTATATTTTCAATTATTTTATTTCTTTTAGTTTTTCAGGGACAAAATTGATATTATGAAAATATAAGAATCTATTGATTTTTTTTCTCTCCCAATCTCTTCACTTTTGGGAAGATTAAAAATGAGGATAATAAAATAAATGAGTTTCTCTCCGTTTCTCTAAATTTCTCTTCACATAAGTTATCCAAACAAGTAAAACAAATACATATCTCTCCATTTCTTTTCTTTTCTCTCCAAATCACTCAATCCAAACATAACGTTAGTCTTAGAAATTTTCCTTCAATCTTTTTTATTTTGAATATGTTGTATTTCCTTAATTTGGAGATTTGAGAGTTTACTTGTTTGTTGTGTGATTTTATTTGGATTTTTTCCCTAATGTTGGATGTGTGTGGGTAAAATAAATTTTTACTTTTCTATTTTTTTGTGGGGATTTAGTGGAGTGATTTGTGGGTGGATAATGTTACCTCATTTGTGGTGTTATTGGTGTTCGTTCTTTTTTGTGGTGTTTGTCCCTAGTATAACATTAAACATTAGTTAATATATAAATGACCCAAACCACTAACACTATTATATCCTTAATAATCATAACAATGTCAAAAAATATGAGTCATTTCACGTGTACAAAATACATATTAATACAAATATCACAATAACAAAATGCGATCAACAAAAACCACAATGTTACACAACATAATCATTGTTCAACAATACAAAGTTACACCAACTTGTTAAATGACATCTACACATACAGAACCCACAATGGAACAATGACCAAACCACCAAAACCTCAATATACTCTAAACCCACATTAGCATTCATATATAATAACAATACGATACAAACCTATAACATTACTGACCTAACATTACATATAAAAATAGTCAACTATGTTTGACAACACGATCGAATTATTTATTAAAGAAGTAAAATAACAACACAGAAACATATACCTAACGCCATTACCTACTAACACAATTGTCGCCAACGACGCAATGAAGAGTGTACACACGCCGGTTATATGTTGGTAACGTCCACCCAACGACGGAATGATATAGTTTTCGATCATAATCGTTATATTGACGGAATTGGAAATTTGTATTTCTAAGGTTTAGGGGGAACCAACGTCAAAATGGGCAACACAAAAATAGGGTTTAACGTTGCTAAAATCAAATAAATAACAAACAAAGCAATCTACACCTATTAACATCAAGAATCCACAATGTTTCCATCTTCATCTCTTCCATTTTGATCAGGATAGAAAGAAAACAGAAAAATAATATAATAAGCGTTTTAGGTACAAACGTAATTTTCACATCACCGAATCCCTAATTTACTCATAATATTTAGTATAACAAGCGCCAACACCATGTATAAAAATGTCATTACCACTCAAATAGAACTTATCAATGTATAAAATAAAAAGTAAGACTGGTTTAAAATTTTCTGATTTAAGATTTATTGATATATCATATTTTTTTTAATTTATATAAAATTAGTTTTCAAATATCTATCCATTAATAAAGACGAATAATATTTTAATGTTAATTTTTAGTGAAAGGGAGGCAGCAACAACCACCACGACCATCTTATGGAGTTTGTGTTTCCGTATTTGTTTTTCTTTTCGGCTTCGGAAAGAAGAGTTGGAATTATTTTAATCACAAAAAAATAAAATAAATGTTTTAATTTAATAAGGTAAAATATCACATTCAACCCATAATTATTATATTTTTTTTCTTTAAAAAAGTCAAAAAAAACTAAAAAGACATTCCTAAACAGAATTTTTTAATTCCAAATTAAAATAACTAAAAAATCAAAAAATTAAAATATCAATCCACTTCCCGAACGAAACGTTTTTTATTTCGACAGAGTCTTCATCCATAAATGCTGAATGATTCTCAATTTTGTACATACACACACGCGTGGCACGCTGCTACCCCAATTCACGTGGGATAGGATATGGACGATCTACTAATCTATCAATGAAGGAATAGAACCAAACAAAGACCCAACAAACAAACAATTTTGATTGCAACTACGTATATATACACATATAAAGCATTAAATTAGGTAATCATAAACATAATAGTTGTCAATATCGTGTCATATTGTATCATGTATTCAAACTGCTTCTTAGAACAGTGATATGTATGACTTATTATCTTTACTAGTGCAATGTCAATGCAATTGGTGTTCTATATTCACTGATTAATTAGAGAGTAGAGATGCAAAATTGGCTAATAGAGTTAGATATGCAACGAATAAATAGTGTTTTTGTCTCTACATTTAATTATTCATTATCTTCATTCCTAATTAGACATCTCTCGATTGTATTCTCTTCATTTGCAAATTGCATGATATGAGATTATTGTTGCTTGCTTGCATGTTTTTGCTTGATCTCTCGTCCTGATATATTGAGATACGCAATTTATATGCATTATGCGTGTATGCAAGTCTCAAATCGCAACGCATGAGAGTAATTTCATTTGTAGACCACTAAGAATACACCCATTCGCCACTAATTAATTACATTAACTACTATTTTTTTTATTTTATTATAATAATAATAATAATAGTAAGAGATTGTGTTATATACAAAGAGAGATGCATGATTCAAGTAGGCTCACATGTGAGAATATTTTATTTCTCCTCTTTTTTTTTTCTTTTTTCTTTTTTGTCTCTCTATTTCTCTCATTCAATTCCCACGTTCCTCTAATCCTCCTCCCAGCAGCCCACATCTTTTATTCCCATCCTCAGGGCGGAGCCAAATTTCTCTGGTGGTTACATTTCGCCAAAGAGAAGTCATAAAATAAATCTATTGAGTTGTCAATGAATCTATTAGAGTTTTATTTGATTAAATTATTATTAAATATTACTCAATAAAGGTCAATTGGACCAATAAAATTATAAGAAATTAATCTTAATTAAATATTATTTGTATGAATTTTATGGGTAAGGATGTCAAAATGTACAAATTTATAGATAAATGTTAAGGTAATATTTGGTAATAGTTAAAAAAATCTTAACATAATTAATCTATTATACAATATCCTTAGGTACATAAAGTTTTACAAATGATTCCATTAAATATATTATAAAAACTCACAAATAAACTATATTATTTTTAACAAGGACCAGATTAAATTTTTTCTATAATGTTACAATTTTTTTTTTTTTTTGAACTAAAATAATGTTAGAATGATCATCTTTTTTACCACAATATATTTATTACCTTAATCACTCATATTTGATACTGATATAGCACTGACACATAAGGAAATAAATAATACATAATAAGAAAATATGATCAGCATAACATTATTGTAAATGTTTTCTTTAAAAGGTAACTCTATTACATTAAAGTCTATACAATTTTTTTTTTTTTTTTTTTTTGTATTAGATGAGTATTAGATTGAAATTGAAAGGGCCGTCAAGTAATATACAAAAAAAAAAATTAACAAAAACATACTTACAAAATAGAGATTTTGCAAATGGTTGGAGAGGCCGAGACCCCCCCGCCTCCGCCTCCAACCATCCTCACTTCCTCCAAACAGGGTGAATCAACAAAAATTAACTCTGAAAAACATTATAGCAAATTTGAATTTATTGTGTTTTTCTTTGTTTGACAAAATAATAAAAAAAATAAAGAATGAAATTAAAAAAATTACTGGAATACCCACAATCAAAAAAAGGCTATGGAAATTGACCCACCCAAGTCAAGAGTCCTCATCTTCGATTTTCTCGAACTTTTCTCAATCCTAAGTTCATCTCTCTATAACGCATCTGAAATGAAACCGTTGTCAAAGTGAAAGTTGCTAGAGAAATTTTATTAAGACTTGGGTAGAAGTGAAATTTGCAATAATATTTTCTTAGATTTTACTTTAGTTGATGGATATATATAGATCACTGCTGAGCTGAGATTATGGGAATCTGAAAATTGAGCAGACAGAAATGGAACCAGTGAAGCCTTGAACTAAGTGGAAGGAGGATAGAGTCGGTGGAACACTGAAGAGAATAAGTACACTAATGAGATTAATGACGTGTCTCCCTGTTATTTGATGGTCATGAACCCAAGGCATTTACAAGTTCAACCGTAAATAATTTTTTAATCTTCAATAATAATAATGTCATAATATAATAACGAGATTATAATCTCATCATAAATTAAAGTATGAATGAAGAGTGTGGAAGAGAGAGAAAGAAAAAGAAAGTGAGTCTTATTGAACCATGCACCTTTCTTCTCCACAAACAATTCCCCCTCCCTCTCCTTAAAACTCGTAAACATGTTGCCAAAAATGGGCACTAAATAACAAGACTTGGTCTCTCACCATCAATCCCCATTCTCATTTCCATTCAATTCTTCCAAAACTCTCTCTCTCTCTATCATTTCTTGCATCCCCACATTCCCATCCCCAAGTTTACGTAGGAATCTTTCTCTCTCTCTCTCTCTCTCTCTCTCTCATATGCATGTTCGTCTAACCCTCCTCACCTTTCCACTACTCATCAATTCATGGCTAAGCAATACAATGTTACCTCTAGCTCTAGTTGTAGAGCCATTTTTATTTCAAATAAAAAATGAATTTTAGCTAAGCTTTGTCGGGGAAGGTAAGAACCATTGAATTCATACGAGGATAGAAAGCATAATATTATGAAGTACGTAGTAAAAGAAGCATTTTGATCAACTAAAGGATCATATATTATATATAAATAGAGAGAGAGAGAGAGAGAGATCAAAAAGAAAAAAAAACGTTTAGTACGAACGTACTTAGGTACAACAATATTAGTTATTATTGTTGTTGTTATTATAAATATTATTCATGGCATCTTTGTCAAGCCAGCCATCTAAAAAGTCATTACGTAATAGTCCAGGGGGGAGTTCTGGCTCCCAGGGAGGTGCCCGCAATTCAAGTGGGCAAACTGTGAAATTTGCCAGACGAACTTCAAGTGGACGATATGTTAGCCTTTCTAGAGAAGACCTTGACATGTCTGGAGAGTTATCCGGAGATTATATGAACTACACTGTCCATATTCCTCCGACGCCTGACAATCAACCTATGGACAACTCCTCTGTGGCTGCAAAGGCTGAAGAGCAATATGTTTCTAATTCTCTATTCACCGGCGGATTTAACAGTGTCACCCGTGCCCATCTCATGGACAAGGTCATTGAGTCTGAGGTCAGTCACCCTCAAATGGCAGGCTCCAAGGGCTCTGCATGTTCCATGCCTGCTTGCGATGGCAAGGTCATCAAGGACGAAAGAGGAGTTGACATTTCCCCTTGTGATTGCAGGTATATCATTTATAATTATTATTTAATGCCACATTCATTTTTATATTTTAAATTATTTCCTATTTTTCTTTCTTAAGATAATATGTAAGAATTATCCATTAAAACAAATTTAATTAATTAATATTTCATTAAAAAATGTGTTGTCCTTATCCATGTTATATAGGTTCAAAATTTGTAGAGATTGCTATCTTGATGCCCAGAAAGAAACAGGTCTTTGTCCAGGGTGCAAGGAGCCATACAAGGTTGGAGATTATGATGACGATGTGCCTGATTTTTCTAGCGGAGCATTGTCATTGCCAGCCCCAGATGATTCCAAAGTAGACCATCGTAATAATATGTCTATGATGAAGAGGAACCAAACTGGAGAATTCGATCATAACAAGTGGTTATTCGAGACAAAGGGTACTTATGGCTATGGCAATGCTTATTGGCCTCAAGATGACATGTACGGAGATGATGGAAATGAAGGATTAAGAGGGGGCATGATGGAATCAAATGATAAACCTTGGAAGCCACTAAGTCGAAGATTGCCCATCCCACAAGCCATTATAAGCCCTTATAGGTATATACAAGTATAACTATATCCATACAATTATGAATTCATACTCTCATCTCGATCAATTGTGTTGTATATTTCATTAATTAATTGCCTTCTAGGTTGTTGATTGCGATACGGTTTGTGGTGTTGGGCTTCTTTTTGGCGTGGAGAATAAAACATCCAAATCCGGAAGCTCTATGGTTGTGGCTTATGTCAGTAATATGTGAGGTGTGGTTTGGATTCTCCTGGATCCTTGATCAAATCCCAAAGCTCTGCCCAATCAACCGCTCCACCGACCTTGAGGTCCTGCGCGAGAAATTTGATATGCCATCACCATCCAATCCTACTGGTCGCTCTGACCTTCCTGGGGTTGACATGTTTGTGTCCACCGCTGATCCAGACAAAGAGCCTCCACTAGTTACCGCCAACACAATCTTATCAATCTTGGCTGTTGATTACCCTGTGGAGAAGTTGGCTTGCTATGTTTCTGATGATGGAGGTGCACTATTTAACTTTGAGGCAATGGCTGAGGCTGCAAGTTTTGCTGATTTATGGGTTCCATTCTGTAAAAAACATGACATCGAGCCTAGGAATCCAGAGACCTACTTCAGCTTGAAGGGAGACCCAACCAAGAACAAGTTGAGGTCAGATTTTGTCAAGGACAGGAGAAGGGTAAAGAGGGAGTACGATGAGTTCAAGGTGAGGATAAATGGGCTCCCCGACTCAATCAGAAGAAGATCAGATGCATTCAACGCAAGGGAAGAGATGAAGATGTTGAAGCACATGAGGGAGAGTGGGGGAGACCCTACGGAGCCAATCAAGGTTCAAAAGGCCACTTGGATGGCTGATGGCACCCATTGGCCTGGAACTTGGGCGGTCCCTGCAAAAGAGCATTCCAAAGGTGATCATGCTGGAATTCTTCAAGTAATGCTGAAGCCCCCAAGCATTGACCCGCTAATGGGAAGGGCAGACGATGATAAGATTTTAGACTTCACGGACGTGGACATACGACTTCCTATGTTTGTTTACATGTCGAGGGAGAAGCGACAAGGATACGATCACAACAAAAAAGCCGGTGCCATGAACGCCTTGGTGCGAGCTTCAGCCATATTGTCCAATGGCCCTTTCATGCTCAACCTCGACTGTGATCACTACATCTATAACTGTAAAGCTGTTCGGGAAGGGATGTGTTTCATGATGGATAGAGGTGGAGAAGATATCTGCTACATTCAGTTCCCTCAGAGATTTGAAGGCATTGATCCTTCTGATCGATATGCCAACCACAATACTGTATTTTTTGACGGCAACATGCGAGCACTTGATGGCGTGCAGGGACCTGTTTATGTTGGAACGGGGACCATGTTTAGGCGGTTTGCATTGTATGGGTTTGATCCTCCACAGCCTGATAAGTTGTCTCATAAGACCGCAAACTCTGAGACCCAAACCTTGACGGCCACCGATTTTGATCCTGAACTGGATGTGAATCTATTGCCCAAACGGTTTGGAAATTCCACAATGCTGGCTGAATCCATACTAGTGTCTGAATTCCAAGGTCGTCCACTAGCAGATCATCCTGCAATCAAGTTTGGACGACCTCCCGGTGCTCTGAGGGTCCCTCGTGAACCACTCGATGCTGCTACAGTTGCTGAAGCAGTCTCTGTAATTTCTTGTTGGTAAGAATACTATTATACTAATATATATCATCTCATCATTAACAAATGAATAAGGAATTTTAGCTAGGTCTGATTGTGTGTTGTGTGTGCATTTCCATGGCCACAATCTTCTTGTTGTTGCATGTGTATTTGTGTAGGTATGAGGACAAGACAGAGTGGGGAGACCGCGTGGGTTGGATCTATGGTTCAGTTACAGAAGACGTGGTAACAGGTTACCGCATGCACAACCGCGGGTGGAGATCTGTGTACTGCATCACCAAGCGAGACGCCTTTCGAGGATCAGCTCCGATCAACCTGACTGATAGACTCCATCAAGTCCTCCGGTGGGCCACAGGATCGGTGGAGATTTTCTTCTCCAGAAACAATGCCTTCCTTGCGTCCAGGCGGCTCAAGCTACTCCAGCGCATGGCTTATCTCAACGTAGGCATCTACCCCTTCACCTCGTTGGTCCTTGTTGTCTACTGCTTCCTTCCAGCACTTTCCCTTCTCTCTGGACACTTCATCGTCCAAACTCTAGATGTCGCATTTCTGATCTATCTGCTGCTCATCACAATTTGCCTCATTGGGCTAGCTATTTTGGAAGTGAAATGGTCTGGGGTTGGGTTAGAACAATGGTGGAGGAATGAACAGTTTTGGCTCATCTCTGGAACAAGCGCTCACCTCGCTGCTGTGGTACAAGGCTTGCTCAAGGTTATGGCAGGTATTGAAATATCCTTCACATTGACTACCAAGTCCTCGGGAGATGAAAACGAGGATATGTACGCAGATCTGTACCTTGTCAAGTGGACATCATTGATGATTCCTCCAATCGTGATCGCTATGGTTAACATGATTGCCATTGTTGTTGCCTTCTCCAGAACGATTTACCAAACCGTCCCTCAGTGGAGTAAGTTCATCGGGGGTGCCTTCTTTAGTTCTTGGGTGTTGGTTCATTTGTATCCTTTTGCCAAGGGTTTGATGGGGAGGAGAGGAAAGACCCCCACCATTGTGTTCGTATGGTCGGGTCTCATTGCAATTACGCTTTCATTGCTCTGGGTTGCCATTAACCCGCCACAGAATACCGCAACACAAGTTGCAGGAGCAACCGGAGGAGGGACTTTTCAATTCCCATGAAAATACTATAACTTCTTTTTTATAAGTCCAGAGACCCAGAAGAATACAACATAATAGGAATTTTTTACTTCAAGAGAAGAAAAAAAAATAAAAATAGGGACACTATTTTCAATTTGAATATGAATTTTTTTTTTTTTAAAAAAAAAAAAAAACCTTATGATTTGCAAACTTATGATTGATGTCTATTTAAAATGATTGCAATTTTTTAATTTTTATTTTGATATGTTAATAGATATTGCATATTTTAAATTATCTGTCTAAGTTTTGTACAATTTTTTTTCGATTTTTTTTTTTTTTTTTTAACTGAAACATTATATTTCATTTGTTTCTCTAGTCATTTATGTTTGTATGTATATACACACACACACATATATATGTATATATCAATATATATATTCTTGAAAATATTCTTTTTTCAGGCTGCTCTTGTTGGGCAGTTTAACAATCAGACTAAGGCCAAGTTTGGGTACTTCCAAAAAAGCCAAAAAGCCAAAAAGTTACTCAAAAAGTTAAAAAGTTAACACTATTAACCAAAAGTCAACAATTACGGCTGCACAACTCCTTTTTTTTTTTTTTTTTTAACTGAAACATTATATTTCATTTGTTTCTCTAGTCATTTATGTATGTATGTATATACACACACACACATATATATGTATATATCAATATATATATTCTTGAAAATATTCTTTTTTCAGGCTGCTCTTGTTGGATAGTTTAACAATCAGACTAAATCAACTCCCAAGTACACAGAACAGGAGAAACGAAGAAAATATTTCAATGCTGAGAAAAGTATATATTCCAATTTTCCAACTAAAAAACTACTCAAAAGTCAATAAAACAAAAGAAACTCCAAATTTTTCTTTTTCTGATTCAAATTTTTTTTTTCCCCCAATGGAGTCTTTTAGCTAAAATTGTATTTTAAATAAATATTTATAAAAATACTGCAAGTTTAAAACTATTAGGAAAAATGTGATCATATCATTTCATAGCACAAAACCATCCTCCAGATTTCACTGCAACAAGACAAGCCATGAGAACATACCGGTCACCAAAAATTTTAACAAAAGATGCTAGGCTCAGTATTTCAAATATAAACACAAGAAAACAAAATAAAACGAAGTACTTTTGTAAGCATGAAAGGAATGAATTCACAGGCATTTGACGTTAATTAACATCCACCACAATTCCACGGAGCAATTTGATCTAAAGGTAGGAGAACCAAACAACACAATATATAAAGCAATAACAATGGCATGAACACCAGAACCAAAAGTATAAATTGCTAACACCTTGTATCCAAAAAAAAAACATATATAGCTCAATACAGTAAAATGGTGACTTTTGCAGCCCCCGCTCCTAACTGCAAAAACAACATGACTACCCAACCATGATAATTTATCATTAATAACTACACAGGTGGTCTGAAAACAAGAAAGCATATGAAACAAACCCAACTGGATAAGTTAGCTACATTGTTATGCTTCAGCTGTAAGCAAGTTGCCCAAGCAAAACTTGCATCCAACAGCTGAATTTCATGCCTATATTTCTTCCAAAAAGTCTCTGATTCTCTTTGCAAAGATGGTAAGAACAATCTATGCACATGATATTCCAATATCTATAGATCTGACTGCTCGAATGGTACTCTCACAAACAACTGGCCATGTAGGGTGACCACAGCGGATGTCTGATGAGGATCAATCCTAGAAGGTAGGCTGACAACCTACAAACACAACCCAATTCCATTATGGTATAAAAGGTTGAATCAGCAGCCTCAAGCATACATACCAAAGCAATTGAATTAAGACCCAATAGATATTCAGGACCAAGTTCAATTTTAAAAAAAATAAAAAAAAATGAACTGGGGTGAGGGTGATATTGCCCATATAGAATCCAGTACCCAAACAAAACCACCAATATTGTGCCATCTTATTTTTCCAAGCAACCAAATTTCACAGTGGAATACAACTTATCCTCAGATTATTATTAAAGTGCATTAGAAGCGAATGGAAACTTGTATGCTAACTGAAAATCCCACAAATAATATATAAATATATGTACTAGTGATGGCATTTTGTAAATAATAGTCATTTTGGGGGTCTCCCTTGAAGACAAATGTTTACAAGAACCATTCAGATGGGACAGTGAATTTTGCATTTTATCAATGAAGACAAAGGCGGGGGCAGGGGATTTCATGAATAAGTAGAAATATGCACCTTTCCTGTGTTGCAAGGTGAGATAAGGTCTTTCTTACTTTTCTGGGATTGAACGAGGATGAACCTCTCAAAAGATGCATAATACAAACCTTCTTGAATGGAGTGACACCCCAAGGATTGTCCACTTGCTCTGGTTGGCCAGATATAACCAAGCGCCCTGCTGGATCCGACTGAACTCGCACCTAATTTTACCAAAGAACAAGGTAGTTTAGACAGTAGCTAAGATCGCAAGCTGTATATTATAGGCATAGAATATGTTTGATGCATGATTTTGGTCAGCTCTTGATTGAAATTTTTGCAATTGCATGGGGTATTATCTCAGAACCAAACCCTTAAAAGCATACGCTTCCAAGGAGCACAAAACACTATTTTCATTTTTTCCTTGGATCTAAGATTTACCACAATTGTAAAATTTACTAGTAATTATGGTTAAAAGCAAGTTTGTCAAATTGTTTACTCAAATCACAACAAATACCTGAAGAAAATAAACAAATAAGAAAGAACTACGAAGATCACCAAACTCTAAGGTTCACTTCATCACCAAAAATATTGCAGATACATAATTGTAACGGCTGTTACATAAAGGTGTTTGAAACTTCCAATTCAGATACACATGCTCATATCAGGGCAATCAAAACGGTATGAACCATATTGGTCGATACAATTTTGTATTGATGTCGTATCAACCAATAAAGCCGTTATTTTAACATATAGCCAATTCAGTTGTTATTTTAACTGATACAGCTAGCACAGCCTCTACCAACATATAGAGCAGACATACTTGATCTACATCACATTTTGCAACATTTTTCTTCTTGTCTCTCTCTGTTGTTGCTCTCCACTTGTTTAAAATACTTAGATCTACTCATTTAGAGCTTGAAACTTCAAGATTGAAGCTTAATGTTTTATCCTACTTATAAAACAGTTAATTTGTTATTGAATTTTTAATTAGTTTCCATTCCATATATTAGAATGATAGATGTCAGTATGTTACTATATTAGAGTATGCGTTAGTCACTAGTATTGTTGTATTAATTATTTATATATGAATTATCTATTCTGGTGTCGTTTTTATTTATCCTAGGTGAGTAATTAACTCCAAGGTGGGCAGAACAAGGTGAGTAATTGACAGTATCACGCACACAGTTCACACGCCATGGTACAAATGCCGAGCATGCAACACATCACAGGTGCAGGGGCAGATACATCATGTGCCTTAGTGAAAACTCGCTCATCTAGGACTGGCCAAGTGTCCCCAAGCGGGAACCGTAACGATCCCTCAATTCTAGCCTCCAAGCCACAAATCCTCTAATGATCCCGAGTAAAAATCCTAGAGCCTGCTCCTAGCTTAGGTTATTCCAAAGTGGAGATCACAAATCACATGTGACGGATAATAGATCTCATTTAGAGATGGACCCATGTACCTACACCAAGATAGTGAGATCCTACATATCCTGGAGATATTTAGCACACTCATATGATTGTGTTAATGCTACATAATGGAGATGGACCCATGTACCTACAGGCAGATAGTGAAATTCTCTTACCAAATGAAATTATCCACATTTTTTGCCTTCAAAGCAAAATAAAATTCAATATTACTTCACAAAACATGTTCTTAGATGCCACAATGTTGATTTAAAACCGTTATAAACATTCAAAATGCAATAAATAAGGTCATAACATACTTATAAATGAGTTTTTGGCATTTACTTATGCTTGAAAAAAATGCACGAGTTCGGTTTCTGATTCCCATTACGTACAACTACAATCGTTACAATGGCCAATACCACGATTTAAAACCATTCAAATTATTTGAGTAGTTTTCACTGTTGATGGCCTCTTATGTTTTATCAATCATATGACAAGGCCTAAAAGCCCTATAACATATCACAACCTTTTCTTGTTATTTGACCCTGTACCCGCAGTGATGGGAGCCTCCTGCAATGGGACTGCCCTTTTTAAATGACAAAAAAAAAATCAATTTTGAAAAGTTTGAGCCCAAGTGTCTCAAGGCTCCCGTCCCACTTCACGTAGCCAAAAATGCATCACCTTCTGTTGTTGCTTTCTAGAAGAGATTGTGGCCAGCAACAACGAAATCAGCCTCTCCACCAACAACGAAAAAAAGAGGAGGGGTGGGAAGGCTACCTACCTACTACCTCTCCCAGACCTTATTGCAAACAGGAGCTTTGTGCATCGGGTACAACCTTTTATACCTGCTAATCCTCGTATAAAAAAAGTTTATATTGATTTGTACACTGTTCACTCTAATCTAAAACCAATGAGAAGTTACATCAAAGTTAATGCTACCACCTCCACCCCCATAAAACACTTAAATAAAACATAATAAGACAATCTAGCTCAGCAGAATAATGCAGACAATGAGTTCACCTAATATTTCGTAATTGAAAAGATTTGAAATAAAATTGCAATATATTTACTCCAAGAAAGAATAATATGAAATGAATATAAAAAGTTGTCTAGAGTGCAATGAGTTTATTCATATAGATATACAAACATATATGCAGCCGTGGTAGCATCATTGAATATTTGAAAGGTCTAAAATCGACTGATACAGGTAATCGCAATTGCTCTGAATCTGAGCCAAGTTTGGGTCCAAATTACTGGTCTGAAGTTAAATATGGCCAAACCCAAGTGGTTCAATTGGTTTGTATAAGCCCAATTGACGTGTGTATTTTTCTAACCACCAGATCTATGGCTCAAATTTTCTACCCTCGCCAGTTCATTAACATACTCTTTGGAGGTCATATGTTGTTAAACTCAGGCTGAACATTATGGACTGACACTACCCAGGCACACACTTCAGATACAAAATTAATGTTTATATCCCACTTCTACCATAATTTTAAAAGATACAGAAACATTATGTCACAGTAAAAGGTGATAATACAAAAGGGAGGGCTACAGAGATTTTCCACTAACCTCCTCACGCAAAAGCCCAGGAACCAAAGCATATATCTCAAAGCAGTCTTTCTGTGTCGTCAATATTGCAAAACTAGTCAAACTCAATCTAGAATATAATCAATATCAAACATTATTATAGTACTCCGAAAGTGATGCAATAGACATACAGTTCTCTGCACATTGATCTTTACCCAATCAGCCGCGGGACCAATATCAACAACCATTGAGTCAGATCTGCCAAAAACAAAACAAGAGAGAGAGAGAGAGAGAGAAATACAATCGGTGAAAGCTTATTGGAAAATAAATTCATAAATTTTTGTCCTCCACTACAATTAATTAATAAATTAAGCAGTCCTTCAGAATTGACAGATTAAGGATAAATTATCTTTCGATTACCATTTTCCATTTTCTGTTTCAGTTTATCTTCTAATAGTTGAAAAAGAAAGGGACAGAAATGGAACCCTCCTCATCAAAAAGGGCCTAAGGCATCAGCATACAAGAAACAATAACAAGGTCCATAGTATTACAAGAAACTTTGTAAAAAACTCGTATTAGAGGTAACAGTTTCTTCCCCCCCCCCCCGGCTGAGCGACAGGTTTATATGGGGCACAATATAGCAAAATGTAGAGGGAAATATACAAGACATGATACAGTAAACATCTTAGTGTCAAATTATCACAAAATTAATTTGCCACAACAAAAACAATCATAAGATAGGAAGTAAGTTATCTTAACTGTGGCTTTGATGCTTTCAGGCGTGCAGCTTTGACAGCACGCTCAACAGGTGATGGCTTCTTACGTTTTAGCAAACCTGAATCGATAAAAAAATAAAAAATTCCCCTTAAAATAGCTTTGACAGCCCATATGACATGGTAGGTTGCAGACTGAATTGAGATATTGTACCAATGCTTTTAAGCTGTTTTTCACGCTTTGGAGTAGAAGTTGAGTTTTTATCCTACAAAAGTTAAGTGCCTAGTTACTGAATGAAGAAAACAAAATACATATGTGCTCCGCTGAATTTTGTGTGTGTGGCTTAGTTTTCCTCAACAAACCTTTATAATTGGGTCCCCAACCTCACCATTCCCAAGAAGACGCTGAGAGTGCCAACCCTGCATAGCACGAGCTGCAGCATCTCTTCTTGCCCTACCTGACCCTGAAGCTTGATGTACACCCGGCTGCACAAAAGTTCGCAAGGGCAATAAGGAATTATACTAAACTATTGTATTCACATACTAGTTAAACCCAAAAATGTATAATGCAGTTGAGGAAATAAATTTTACCATTTAAACACACATATCAAGATTGTCAACAGTCTGGAGCAGGAACAGAACCACATTTTTACAGTCACTTTGAGACGGGTGCACAATTGAATCAAAATTATTTTGTAACATTGTTCTTCCTAATCTAACTAAGGTTTTAGGTGATTTGGAAAAGAACGAAAGAAAAAATCTAAAATAAATTACATATAATTGCGTAAAAGAAAAATGAAGCAAATGATCACACTATGAGATGAAGTTAGGGTTAATTACACCAACACCCCTTCAACTATTAGAGAATATCACTTTACTCCCATCATCTATGAACCTATACATTTTGACCCTCTCAACTGTAAAAACTGTACAAATGCCCCTCTTCTAGAGGGTTGGAAGTGATGCATTTTTATAGTTGAAGGGTTCAAAATGTACGAGTTCATTAGATGAAGGGAGTATAGTGGTGTAATTAACCTATAAAATTACAATTGTATATCTGTACATTCAAGGCACTAATGACTTCATCCATAAACAAAATGAAGACATAAGTATAGCAAACAAAAAGATCATCTGATATTATTATATTTGATGTGTTCATATATTTTGAGATTTAGATATGCAAAACAAGGAATATCTACGGTGACAAAGCAATGAAAAATGATTAAATTATTCTAATGTCATTCAGTTTGAATAATGTTTAAGTTTAGAAAAGGAAAGCTTTTTTCTAAGAGTAAATATCATTAAAAGTGATCATGAAGGGAATGCCAAATCTATATACAAAAAAATGATGACAAAAATAAAGACCAAACTTTATACACCTCCGTATGTATGAAAAAGCTCTACAAAATCTACAAACTAATCAAGAGAAAGGTCAACAACCCTTGACTCCAACTAATACCCAAAAAAACTCTTTAGCCTATACAAGGGGAACTCTTTGTTCTTGAAAAGACTTTCAATATCTCTCTCCCCATATAGTCAACCATAAGACATAATGAAATCGTCAACCAATGGTTCTTTATTCTCCTTTTGACTCTAGCCTACTGCCAACCCAAAAGAAGCTCTATAACCCCAGAAGAATGTCCACACCACCCCAAAACCAACAGAGCATTGACATCCGTAGATCTCTTGTCATTCGACATTGAATAAGAAGATGATTCATTGATTTGCAATAATTTTTCTCCTTCAAGTCAGGTTATTTAAAATTAAGATTTTACCAAGCACAACACACCGCACCACACAAAAAGGCTACCTTAGGTGGGTCCTTGTGCTCCAAATGGCTCTCCACAAGATAGATTTAAAAAAAAAAAACGTTGCCCAATCAAAACCTCATAAAAAGGCATCACCATGAAACACCCGAACTCATCTACCTCCATCTACTGTCCCAATAGGTATATCATACAATCTCTAGGGCATCCCCATCAACTCGTCCATCTTCCAGTCTTGCTATCTTCTACATAGCAAGACATCCCAAAAGACTTGTTGCCTATCTTCATAACTAATCCTCTACTGTAGCTTTTTTGTTTGCTACTACTCAAAAAACCCAAGGGAAACCTTCCCCATCCTCTCTTCCCATTCAACAATGAAGCCGGAAGTTCACTTTCCTTCCATCCCCATTCATCATGCTAGTGTGTTGCTCAAACTAACCCCAAACCTTCTATATCCCCTTCCGTAGCCCTAACCATAAGGCAAGTTGACCCCCGAATATGTCCACTCCCCCCTAACCACATCTATACTTCAAGTGCACAATCTTTCTCTAACACCAATCCCACTCACAGGCAACATTGAGAGCCATTTTCCAAATAAGGCCCAATTGAAGATCTCCACTTCCCAAATTTAACACAAAATAATCAAAACTCATCACCTAAAATTAGGCCATTCAATAGACGTCACTAAAGCCTAAAAGCTACTCCAGCTGTTATAACGTATTCAAACAAGTCCCAGAACTACATTTTGATAAGTGATTCACAACTTTTGACAATAAAGAATGGAGAGAACTTGGTTTGCTACAAACATGCAATCATAATATTAATTTGTAAATTAATTCATCACCTAAATATTAAAGGACTCAAATAGTGAAGTTCGGTAAATTACTTCATCCCTGTGACATCACATTTGATTAATAGGAGCAGCCTCAATTTCAACCACCTCATGTCTAGTGACCTAGTTATAACTTATAATGTTTTATTCTCAAAACAAAATTCTTAAAGTAACACAAAAAAGAACTTGAAAAACATCCATGTCATTTTTTGCTTGAACCACTCCAATACACTCATGCAGTGGCACATTCTTTAGGTATATTGACCAAGAATGGGAATCTCCAATACCAAAGTAACCTAATGCTAGGAGGCAAAGTAAGCATAACTACAGGTTAACCGGTATTAATAACTTCATTCCAAAACCTAAACTTCTTAGCTTCTTTTTAAATATAATGGATGGAGATCAAACTGCCAACCGAAACACGAGTACTCATGCCTGTTACGCAAAAGAATCTAAGATATATAGAGCACAATTACATGTATGAACTTACCTGATTACCAGCACTTGTAGGCTCTGTAAAAGAAGCATCAGTGAAAGGTAGCTCACCGCTACGCATTTTATGCTTTTCATATTCCAGTAATGCCTGCAAAAACTAATATCAGCAACACCAAAATGCAGGAAACAAGCAAATGGAAGCCCACAATCTGTACAAAATATAAACAACAAATTTGCCCAAGTATATCAAAAGAAGTGTAAGGATATAAATACAATTTCAAAAGGACCATCACAATCCTAATCTATTGTATAGATTAAAACAAATGGGCATATCTATGGTTCAAAATGTTTGAAGCACAAATGGTAGCTTGTACCTGAGGGTATCCCTTACTTCATCTCAAAACATATCAACTAGAACTTCATGAGTTCTTCTAGATACAAAAAAAACATGACTTGATTAATATTATTCTGTATGTGATCCATATCAAATGAACTGAGAGGTATATAAATTAGGATGAACCATAGTTTTCTGTACATATTACTAGTTTTCCTCTTATACAATATAAATATGAGTAGCACTAGTACCTATGGCATGCCCAGGAAAGATCGGGGCAGGTTTGGCCTGCGTGTGACTTTCCTGAGGTTGTCATGACCCAAACCCCACCCTCTGTGGATTTCTGGGCATGACCAGCCTCTTCGTAGCAACAATGGGGTTTTGTTGGCCAGAAATTCTGAAGGATCCGTGTGAAGGACGTTCGAACATCAGACCATGCTATGATGCAATCTGGAAATGACTTGTTTTTCATATGAAACTTGCATAACATTTTTGGGGTCCAAGAAGAGAACTTGTATCGAAACTAATAACATACTAAAAAACTTTAAATTGGTATTAACTCATTACTTGTGCTGCATACCAATTGGATTACAATGTTTTGTGATATTATTTGTGTAGGATCACTTAATCAAAGGAATGAAAAGAGGTTAAGTACTTAAGAGCCCAAATCGCACTTAAAAATGAATGAATTTGAATGAGAAAAAAAAAGGTAGTTTTCATTATACCCAAAACTTAGGGTTTGTGACTCCCTCAAATTGGATCATTCAAACAACATACATGCACATAACAGAGCACTGGTCTTTGTTTCCAAGCCCATGCAATGTGGTGCATCACAAACTGAGAAGAATTAAATCTATAATTGAATGAGAAATGACCAAACAGTTTCAAAAAGAACCAAATTCAACCAATATAAGCAAAGAGAAAATGAAAATGCTCATAAAGAAAATTCTCAATATAAAGTAAAACGCAAAAGGTAGAAAATAACTCAACAACTTGAGCATAACCTTTTCATAAAAACATCGAAATGTCCACGAAACAGTAGTACAGGTCCTGCATAAGTTTAAACATTATAACACTTCAGCCTTGAACTTTAATTAAAATAATAAAAATCAAATAACAAAATTATCACCATAAAGCAAGAAAGAAGGAGAGTTAACCTATACTAAACAAATGTACTCTCCAACTTTTCCAGATGTAAATTTCATTTCCAGGTGAGGGGTTCATTAAATATATGGAAATATACTCTCATAATTGAAATACACAGCATTGCGCTATGTTCATACCCCAGAAAAATTGGTCAAAAGCCCACATCCTTTCGGATTTCCCACATATTGGTCAAACAAGCTCCCTGTCAGAAGCTATCAGAGTATGCTTGACAACTTGGCAACAATAATAACTACCACCCAGGAAGCATGCATATGGAGACAAGATAGGTGTATGATATGATACGGATATGGCGATACGACAAAACCTTAAAAAAATAGGATATGGGTACAACTAAGATACGTTTGTAAAAAAAAAAAAAATTAAAAAAGAAAATTTTAAAATTATTAGTAGTGAGATACATATAAGCTCAAGAATTTGAAAAACCACAATATAATTTTATGATGCAAAGTACTAACCTTTAAGAATTAGGTATTAATTATATTTTATTTCAGTATCAAGTCTAATATGTTTATATTACAACAGTAGAATAATATAGCTTTTCCCTTTGGCACTAGTAAAAATGTTGTGTTCAAGTGTCCTTTTTATTTATTGATATTTAATTTTACTATTGTTATATTCTTTCGTTAATCCTTACTTTCTATGTAGTTATAGAGGACATGCATGAAACAATAAGGATACATTAATTTTGACAAATTCTATTCCTTTAACGCACTATGTTCTTCTTATCAAAAAACTACACAAAGTATCAGAAAAATATTCTTGTATTTATCCTTACAATTATATTATATTATAATTATAATGCTATGCAATAAATGCTACAGTTCTAATTTCGTAAAAGAATTAATACGTGACTTGGAGTATCCGATACTTAAAAATTAAATATCCGATACTCCGAAATTAATGAAAAAATAATTAAAAAGTATATGATACTTTTAATATGTATCCAATACGTATTCATGAGTATCCAAGGAGTATCGGTATCCAATACGAATACATCTCCCTTTTTGAAGTATCCGTACTTCATGGACTACCACATAGGTCATACTATTGTACACATCTTACAAACTCATACGTCCCTGGTTCTCTAGTCATCGAAACTGCTTTAAACTAGAACCATAAACATCAAACATATGTTACTCCTTACTTTGGGGGCTTGAATGATTCTCCAACTTGCCGCCACAACTTGCATGAAGTCACCTACAAAATGCCAATAAAAAACAAGCACATACAACTTGAATATCACCATTTCTGTAATTGACGGTGCCAAAATTATACTTGTTATAATCAAGTATTAGATCCATGCTTACATGAACTCAAGTGAATACCAGAAGTAAAGAGCATATAACATAAGTTTCTAAAAGATGACCAAGCACCCACCAAGTACCAAATTCCCTTTGGCCTCCCTAGAGTTTGTAATTGAACAAAAAAATGACAGCAGAGCGTGTAGAATTGACGCGTGCAAGTGAACTGTATAACTACAATAATTATCCATATTGAATAGATACAATAAAATGAAAATTTTACCAAGAAATTAGGATCGCTGACTTTTGTCCTTTTTTATATGTTGTGTGTGCATGCAGTGGGGAAGAGTGTATTAAAAAATAATAATAAATAAATAAATAAGCAAAGTCACTATTGAATTAACAATAGAATCCAAAATATTTGACCCTGCACACATAGAACAAAAAGAAAGTTGGTTGGACAATCATACTTATGCCATGTATATGTGGATTTGTTCTATCATACAATTTTTTTGTATTAAAAATATTCTATCACATGTACATCTGCAGGTCCTATAAAAATGTCAACCTAAAACGATTTTACCATCAAATTAGGTCACATAAGCACACTTATCTATTGACTTACAGAAATTGATGAAGCAAATTTTAGTGTTAAATGCACCATCTCGCTACTGCATATTAGCAGATTTCCTATGCACCACAATACCCTTACTTGAAGTATTGACCAATAAAACATTGGTTACTATTGTTTTTACTATCAATTCAATTTAGATTGTCACAGATTTGATATTGAGAGAAATATCTCAACAAGTGTGCGATACCAAAGCAGGCCAGATGACAACAAATAATGCTCCATATCATTTACAAATAAATTTTTGATAGTGGAGAAGCTTAGATGACAAAATTATACTGCTCATATCCATGGACCAATCAATTGATGTAATAAAACAAAAACTGCTCTCATTCCACGCATGGTAAAAGATAATGCAAATGATAAAATGAAAGTTGTTAATATTATTGACTTCATCAAACTTGATACTATAGGCATCATGTGTCAATAAAATAATAGTTTATTCCCCCCATAAAAATTAAGTGCACAAATCCAAGTACTTGGAAGTTTTCCCAATAACTTTATGAAATGGAGCCAGTAGTTATAATATTCTAAGATTCCATTCAGCATCAGGGTTAATGTATGTAACTACTAGATAAACTACAAGGGATAGACCAGACCATAGTAAAAGATAATGCACATGATAAAATGGAAATAAGTTCGTCAAACTAAAAAATCTGGGAAACCTGTTCATAGCCACCAAGTCTGATGACTGCTCTCCATAACCTAACTCACATAAAGAAGAAACATTAGTGCAAATCAGGAAGCGCCCAAAAAATTAAAGCAAGCAAATTTGACGATCAGGGTCACTCATAACTCACTTGAGGCAATTTAATGGCTCTCCATAAAATCTTGGAGGTTTGAATTCCAAGCACCTCTCTTTGTGGAAAGTTTCCAGCTCCTTCATGAATGCTGCTTGCTCTTCCTCAGTTCCGGACTCATCACCCCCATTAGCATTCGTTTCCAAGAACGACTTGTTTGAGGTCTTGGCATCAACTGCATCTCCTACATCCAACTCCTTCTTTGGTGATTCTTCCTTTATTTCATTGTTGGATAACACCTCCATCCCTGTCACTGCATTGTTTAATTCTTCTTTAATTTCATTGTCCGGTGGTAACTCCATTCCAGTCACCCCGTTGTGCAATTCCTCCTCCTTTGTTTCAGTATCTGGAGGCAACTCCATTTTAGTCACCCCAACATTCAATTCCCCATCCTTTATTTCATTTCCCAGTAGAAACTCCATCTTGGTCATCTCATTGTTGGATGCCTTGTCCTTTCTTTCATTTTCTGGTTGCAACTCTGACCCTGTTTCCTCATTCCTCAGTTCCTCTTCCTTTGTTGCAGTGTCCGGATCAAACTCCATCCCAGTCAACCCATTGTTCAATTCCTGCCCCCCCATCTTACTGGGTAAGATAGAGTCTGACTGAATCAGGGGATCCAGATGTGTGCCATCAGCTTTTCCAGAGTTGCCTTGTAGTAGCTTAGTTGTATTGGCATTACTTTCAGGATCAGCAACAGTCCCAGCTGAGATAACAACACTGGAAAGGTCAATCAAACCTTGCTCCTTAATCGAGCTACCTTCTTTGGGCAATTTAACATTAGGGTAGTGAGGACCTTTTTCTGAATGCAACTCTTGTGCAGTTGCAACAACAGGGTTTTGCTTAAGGTCACGGAGAAGGGATTCCTTGTTTTCAACTTGTGTGGCTTGAAATTGAGGAGAAGAATCCTTGTTTCCAAGGTGGGTATCCTCTTCCTCCTCCAGGTAAGATAATTCCTCCTTTTCGACCTCTGTGTCAATCATCGTGATATCATTGGTAACACGACCATCGTGTCTATCTTTCACAGTGTCTTTGTTATCGTCCGTCTTAGAATCAACCATGATTGCTCCCAAAACCCTAAACAACAACTAATTGTCCCTCATACAAAACAATAGGGACAAATAGTTTTCTTCTGAGAAACCCTGGGCTTCTTTGTAATAAATGTGAAAAATTAAAATAAACCAAATAGTATTACTGGCCTGGCTTGTATAAGTGATTGCTGCGCGCCTTGCAGGAAAATTATGGGTGACCCAAAAAAAAAAGAGATTTGTAAAATACATATGCATATGTCTAACAATCTAACTAGCTAACTAACTATATAAATATATGTACGGAATAATATATGCATGATAGAACTTACCTGCCTCGATGCTGATACTTGTGCGTTTCAAAACAAAGAGCTGCTGCTGCTGCTGCTTTGAAGAATTTACTGCTTCTGCTTCAATACGAAAATCTCTGTTATTATTAATAAAAAGATAAACAGAAAATATAATTACATATATGGATATATCATAAAAACCCAAATAGATCCTCAACAGTAAACAATCAAACCAAACGGTGCTTGCTTTTAAAAAATTAAACATAAATAAATAAAAATTAGCGGAAAACGGGAAAAAAACGAGAAAACAAAGTGAGCCACGATTCTTGGCCGAAGAAGGCCTTATATTTATGAAGAGTAAAGTGTAAAGAGCTGCTAGTGGTAGTGGTAGTGGTGGTGGTGGTGTGGTACTAGTAGGAACTTGGAGAAGAGAAGAGAAGAGAAGAGAGACAAGACAACCCAACCCTACCCAACCCAACCCTACCCAACCCAACCCAACCCCGTGTGGCCTGAGCAGAGATGAACTCCAACCTGGGGCAGAGACGGAGGGAATAAGAGCGAAACACAGACGAACGATATTAAACCGCCGCTTTTTTCCTCTTTATGATGCCCTCCTCCGATTGTCGATTTTTCGGCAAGGGTTTGGTTTGTTGATGAGGTGTCACAGAAAATTATAAATTAATAGATAAATAAAATTCACACATAAAAAGTTGATCTTAGGGCTATATATTTATTTTAGGTGATTCACAGCTAAGTCCCATTTTGGAAAATAATGATACATTAAATTCTAATTCAAAAACTTTTTACCAATAAGTCTCACAGTTCATCCCGTCATTTCTCATCCTCGCAGATTTCATTCTCACTTTTATCAATTTCGTGTCACATTTCGTCTTACTTCATCAATCTCGTCTCAAATTTTAAAAGACACAAACTAGATCATCAAATATTCTGAGATCCGAACAATCAAAAATAGTGAAAACAAGTAAGATTTAAGTATCTTAAACCCTAATTTTTGCAAAATCTTTAATTTTCGAAACTTTTATTTTTGATTTCCATTTCAATTTGAATGTTGAGTTCGAAACTCTTGCTTTAGAAACTTTTGTTTTTGTTTTTGTTTGTAAATCTCAGAACATTCACTATAATAACGCCAAAATCATGTTCTCATTTTTTCAATTTAGATTTCATTGTTGATTTTGGTACGATTGTTGTGAATATTCTCAGATTCTGAATCAATTTGAGTGAAAAACCCTAATTAATCATCTTCTCTTGCTTTCAATTTAAGTTTCAATATTGATTTTGCTACCATTGTTGTTAATGTTCTCAAATTCTTAGTGAATTTGAGTGAAAAACCTTAATTAATCATATTCTCTTGCTTTCAATTTAGGTTTCAATGTTAATTTTGGTGCAATTGCTGTAAATGTTCTCATATTTTGAGTCAATTTGAGTGAAAAATCCTCATTAATTATATCCTCTTACTTTCAATTTAGGTTTCAATGTTGATTTTGGTACAATTGCTATGAATGTTCTCAAATTTTGAATCAATTTGAGTAAAAAACCCTCATTAATCATATTCTCTTACTTTCAATTTAAGTTTCAATGTCAATTTTTGTGTGAATACTATGAATGTTCTCATCTTTTGAATCAATTTGAGTGAAAAACCCTAGTTAATCATATTCTCGTGCTTTCAATTTAGGTTTCATTGCTAATTTGGTACCATTGTTGTTGTCTTCTCTTGCTTTTAATTTAGGCTTCGATGTTGATTTTCGTACCATTGTTGTTAATCATCTTCTCTTACTTTCAATTTATGATTCAGGGTTGGTTTGGGATGTTCTAAAAAAGTGCACTTTTTGACTTATTGGCTTATATGGGTTGGGTTTGGGTTAGGTTTGATGTGATGTGTTAGAGAGGTGATGTGATTTAAATAAGATGATGTGACTTAAATATGATAGTGACTTTTTGACTTTTTGTATTATTTAGGTCATGCCAAACTTGGCCTCAATGTTGATTTTGGTACCATTGTTATTAATGTTCTCAGATTCTTAATGAATTTGAGTGAAAAACCCTAGTTAATCATATTCTCTTGCTTTCAATTTAGGTTTTAATGTTGATTTTGGTGCGATTTCTATGAATGTTCTCATATTTCGAGTCAATTTGAGTAAAAAATCCTCATTAATCATATTCTCTTACTTTCAATTTAGGTTTCAGTGTTGATTTTGGTACAATTGTTGTGAATGTTCTCAGATTCTGAATCAATTTGAAAGCAATTGGTACAATTGATTAACTAGGTTTCATTGTTAATCATGTTTGGTAGCTCTAGCACCCTAATCATTTTGGTTTCATTCTCATATTTTGAACCAATTTGAGTGAAAAACCCTACTTAATCATGTTTTCATGCTTTCAATTTAGGTTTCATTATTGATTTTGGTACCATTTCTGTTAATGTTCTCAGATTCTGAATCAATTTGAGTGAAAAATCCTAATTAATCATATTCTCTTACTTTCAATTTAGTTTTCAATGTTGATTTTGGTACCATTGCTATTAATGTTCTCAGATTCTTAGTCAATTTGAGTGAAAAACTCTAGTTAATCATGTTCTCTTGCTTTCAATTTACTTTCAATGTCGATTTTGGTACTATTGTTGTTAATGTTCTCAGATTCTTAGTCAATTTGAGTGAAAACCCCTAGTTAATTATGTTCTCTTACTTTCAATTTAGTTTCAATGTTAATTTTGGTATCATTGATGTTAATGTTCTCAAGTTTTAAATAAATTTGACTAAAACACCCTAGTTATTAATGTTTTCTTCCTTTTGATTTAGGTTTCATTATTGATTTTGATACGATTATTGTTAATGTTCTCAGATTGTTAGTTAATTTGAGTGAAAAATCCTAGTTAATCATATTCTCTTACTTTCAATTTAGGTTTCAATTTTGAGTGTGGTACCATTGTTGTCAATGTTCCATATTTTCAATCAATTTGAGTGAAAAACCTTAGTTAATCATATTCTCTTGGTTTCAATTTAGGTTTCAATGTTGATTTTAGTATGATTCCTGTGAATGTTCTCAGATTCTTAGTCAATTTGAGTGAAAAAAATCCTAATGAATCATATTCTCTTGCTTTCAATTTAAGTTTCAATGTTGATTTTGGTACGATTGCTATTAATGTTCTCAGATTCTTAGTCAATTTGAGTGAAAACGCAGACTTAATCATATTCGTTTGATTTCAATTTAGGTTTCAATGTTGAGTTTGACATGATTATTGTGAATATTCTCAAGTTTTGAATCAATTTCACTGAAAAGCTCTAGTTATTCATGTTCTCTTCCTTTTGATTTAGGTTTCATTGTTTATTTTGATACGATTGCTATCAATGTTCTCAAATTCTGAATGAATTTGAGTCAAAATCCCTAGTTAATAATATTCTCTTGCTTTCAATTTTCGATTTCAATGTTGATTTTGTTTTTATAGCCGTGAATGTTATCAAATTTAGACTTCATGAGAATGACATTGGATTGATTCTTTTAGGACATATTCTCAATGTTAATATGTTCTCTATATTGATTTTTCGTACAGGAAATCAACTCATGAAAACGCCAAGACTGAAGAGCAATGCAAGGAAAACAATAAGAAAGCACAAAGAATCAACTTCGAAGGAGAAAAAGCTAAAGTGAAAGCGTAGAGAATGGAGAGTAACTTCAAATCAAACATGGTGACAATAGTGAAAGTATTACAACACATCAAACTCAGGAACGAGCATATTAAAGGGTTGAAGACAACCCCATTCTGGTTATTGTTTGATGCAATATTGAAGAGTAAGTTGAATTATAAACAATGCAGAAAATATGATGATATTGCATTCAAAATAATTCAAACATACCAACCAAGCAGCAGTGGTTCTTTCCAGTGAGGACCATAAACTATAAAGCTAACAATAGAAGACATCAAGTCCATCTTCGGTATATCTTGTGGAGATGAGCCGATGCATCTTGGTTATGGAAATAAAAGTATATCGTCATTTCTGACAAGAAGATCCATACAAATTGAAAGGCTATCGAGCACAACCATCATGGACTTGTTGCAAAAGCATTGAAAGGCAACAAGAAAGAAGACACCGAAGATGTAATTAGGATACTATGTATGTATACTTGTTTGAAGCTTTTTTTCTCTATATCAAGAACAACAGTCGGATGGGTATTTCTTAATTACATAGAAGACATAAAATCAATGAGAAAATACAATTGGGAAGAAGCAATAAGGAACACGCTGATGTCTTCAATTGAAAAATACCACAAAACTCCAGCAAAAGTCACAGGATATGTTACGGCTCTCTTAATAAGGACATCTTTACTTTATTTTATTAGTTTGTTGTTAATAACAAAAAGTATTATTTCTTATTCAAATGATAAAGATTCTTTATATTTGTTTGTAGTATTGGTTGTGTGAGCACACATTGATCATCCACCCTGAAGTAAGCGAAACATGCCCAAGTGTGATCAAGTGGAATCTTATCAAATTACACAAACGTATGAAAGTCATATCACTACATGAACTGACAACAAAACAGGTCACATCCTCATCTCATTTGAATTTCAATTCAAGTTAGGAAAATTCCCTATTTTTATGCACTAAATTATTATTGAGAAACTTTTTAGTTTCCTAAACTTCAATTATTTCAAAAACTAATATCTATTGTATGTTGACCTACAAGTAACTAGTGCTTAATTGAGTGAGGAAAGTGATGAAGAACTTGATAACACTGAAAAAGAAAAATAAGAGAAAAAAGAAAAAAACAATGCTGAAAAATATTGAAGAATAAGAAGAACAAGAAGATATTGCAGAAGAAGAACAAGAAGAAGAAAAAGAAGATGCTGAAAATACTGAAGAAAAAGAAGAAGAAGATGGTCAACATGTTGAAGAACACCACCAACAACAAAAGCCAACAAATAAGAAATTGCAAAATTCTGAAAGCACAAAAATTGCCAGCTACATGAGAGATGAATGGGATGTTAATCAACAAGACACAAATGAAGACTTTGATGGCTTGTGCATCATTATGATCAATGATGCACCTGAGGGAGAAGAACACATTCATCAACAAACACTTGAGAAACTTCAAACTGAGAACAACAATTTGCAACTTGACAACATAGTGAAGACCGTATACGTAAATAAACTTGAAGAGGATAACAGGCTACTCACAGCACAAATACAACAATTGAAAGATGAAAATTCTTGATTGCATAACCAATTGGTTGAAAAAGAGGTCCATGAGATAACCCAAGAAGTTTATGAAGGAAAGAATTCCGGGATAGATGCAGAGAATGTAGGTCATACTATAAATGATAGAAATTCTCAAGTGGTGCAGAAAAAGGTCCATGAAAATTCAAAAGTGGTGGACAAAGAGCTTTATCAAAAAGAGGTCCATGAGATAACGCAACAAACTTTTACAACAAAAGATTGTGAAACAAACACAAATGCAAACGATTGTCAAAATTCTCAGTTACAGAATCAATTAGTGAAGGAAGAGGTCCATGACTTAACTCAACAAGTTTGTGCAATAAAAGCCGATGATCTGACAAAATCAAGACAAACAAATCTGCAGAATTCCATGAATAAAAAGATCAAAGCTAAAGCAAGGGAGACTACTGAGATATCAGATTATGAGTATGGAGACAATA